TTTGGATTATCACTATTAGTCACATGACCGGATGCAATGAGAGAGTCATTGCGCACTATTTCCCTCCTCATATATATATTCAAGAGTAGCATTCATTAATGCGTAACGCGTCTAGGACGAACAGACCTTTCAGAGTCCATCCCTTTGCAGATCAAAACACAGCCGATGCCCCCCAACTCGAATGCTCTCCTTGGTCACGGACACGTAATTGTTAACGCATTACGGAGAAAGAGGTTGAATTTAGCCGCCAGTCCTAGGGATGACGTATTATCACCGCAGTTGCAGTATGGGTTCTAGCACGCCGTTGAATCAACAATATATTCACCCGCCCTTTGACAGGTTGTTTTTAGTCTCTCTCCTCACAAGAAATGCCTGGTTGGGGAACTGGTTTTGTCAGACTTGGTCTGACAATGCGTCAGGTAGCATTAGGTTACTACACATCAACAAATTTACAGGCACACACATACACACATAAATACACACATACATACAAATACACACACAATATATATATATATATATATATATATATATATATATATATATATATATATATATATATATATATTTAAGTTACGAAGAACTTGGTAAAACGAATGGGTAATTCCAAGGAGGTTGAAATCCTGAGAGCTCAATGTGAATACAGAGCTAATATTTAATGAAAAACAGACCACTTTAAGGTAACATTACAATAATTTATTTCACCAAAATTCTTTGGAATTTACCTCATGATCCGGAGTCCTTTAAAAAGGATTTTTATGAAATAAATTATTGTAATGGTATCTTAAAGTGGTCTGTTTTTCATTAATTTATATATATATATATATATATATATATATATATATATATATATATATATACCTGATTGAATAAATTACAAACATTATGTCTGCTTATTTTATGATATTCATTTTTATAGCCATTTTAGAACATTATTACATTATACGTAGCTGATTCTATTCAGTGTCGGCTTCAATTTTTAATGAAGATTGCTTTGAGGATCTAGAAAAAGAACAGTTTTTTATGCTCTAATGGGTGCTCGACCATGACATTACAACAGAAAAGAAAAATAAATCGATAATGGATAACTTTTCCCGTTCTAATCAAAGCATAAGTTTCACCCATATCATATTAACGCAAAAAAAGTAATTGGATAGCTACATATAGTTTTTGCCTTGGGCACCCCGAGGCGGTGTAATGTTTAGCAAACTTGCATCGCTAGAACAGTTACGAGTGAGTAGTGAGTTAGATCCTCACTGGGTGCCCCCTAATTTCGGCATTGTGCCACCTCTAAGCTACGCTTGGAAAATCACTATAGTTTTTGCCTTACCAGTTGCGCCCTGGTGATGATCTCAGAAAGAGATGGAAAGTACTTGTGAAATTAAAGTGATTCGGACAGAACTTATGGGAACTTAACTAAGGTGTGCTCAGTACAGTTGAATTATAAAACACCACTTGACTCTGTGGGTTGAATAAGCACGTATATTTCTGAGCACGCATTCGCAACAGCCTTACCACCTTACTTGAATATGAGCAGCCAGCCATGATGTATGTAGTCAGTATGAATTCGTTGACACACGATTTCTCGTGGACCGTTCAATATTTTATTGCATTATTTTAAATATATATTTTTGCCAACAAACTAAAAATATTATAGAAGTTCTAATATGCATACATAGGGGAGAATGGACCGACAGGAAGTTATGGAGATGGAAACAAGAAACGATTGCGAAAAAGAAAATTGTATTTGTGCAGTGACTAGAATAAAATGAAGAATTATTTGCGACTTGAAGGACATCCCAATAAGCGAGAATATTTATCGATGAAATGAAGAGAGACAGTGTCAACACTTTCCTCATTAAACTTTCATTTATTTCTGTTTATCTATCTATCTATCTATCTATCTATCTATCTATCTATCTATCTATCTATCTATCTATCTCTCAGTCTCTCCATGCCAGTCGACCTCACTCTTTGTCTCTATTCATATGTTTCTATCCGTTTGTACTTGTTGACTCTGTCTGTTTCTATTTATATCTATCTATCTATGTGCCTATTTCCACTTGTGATCTTGTTCTTCCACACGGAAATAATTCATCGCTTTTATTCTTGACATTTGACGAATATTATCTTCCCAAATATATTTCATTTAAAAAAAATTTCTATCAATTTATGATTGATAGAAATTATGGATCCATTTTCCTTTACCAGATGCTCTTATAGATGCTAACAATTCGTCAGTTTGTTCTTTCTATTTGCCTTCTTTCTCTTGTTCTGTTGTACTTCATTTGATTTACTGAGCTATGTATCAATTTCTTTCAGTCCATCTACCAGTAGTATATTTATGACAAATCATTATTTTTTCTGTATCACTGTATATTGTTGAATTCGACAAATTTTACATTTCCAGTCTCGAGTGGAATTCGAACCGAATTCTGTTTAATGATTTGTAAATCATTAAACCACTTAACGTTTCTGGTAAAAAACAAAGCAAAAGTCGCGAGATTCCTCGAGAGAAACTTGATCAATAGAAAGCATAAGCAAAGGGTATGAATCGTGAAAAGCTACGAACAAAATGGAGGATGAAATTTAGAGATGTAAAGACAGAATCATGGAGGAAGTGAGTGTATGAGAGGGAGAGATAGTTAAAAAAGAAAGAAAATGTCAAGAAAAAGAAATAAATAAAAGTAAAGCAGAACAAGCTGTCAATAAAATATATAATTGATGGGAATTGATGTGAATATGCTATAGAGAACGAATAAGAATGATAGGGTAAAAATGGCGAAATTTGAAACGGGTAAAACTTTTTTACGTAAGTCAATTTAAAACAGGGAAAAATTGTTTAAAATTTACTGAATGTTATGATACATGATCATACAGAACGCATCCTAAATTTAGCAAAAAAATAAAAAAATAAAAAAAATAAAATAAAATTCAAGGACGAATTGCATTGATAATTTTATCAATTTTTATACGTTGGTGGTACAAAATACGAGAGTGGTTGAGTTTTCGAACACACCAACACTTGTTGGGCTATTCAATATCGAATTTTTTGCATAGCACCTAGAGCAGATCGAATACTTCAGTATCAGTTAACCAAACAAGCCTTGCTAACCATTCCCCCATTACGAAACCGCTGCGAACTGTCCAGAAGCTGCTTGTTTAACGATTTTCCAATGTAGCTTAGATGTGGCACAAGGCCGAAAGTATGGGGCACCCAGTGAGCATCGAACTCACTACTCAGTCGTAATTGTTCTAGCGAGACAAGCTTGCTAACCATTACACCGACTCGTAGTGCCCCGGAAGCTGCTTGATTATAATGCTTCCTTTCTGTAATTCATAACGAGGCTCTATTTTTTTCTTCGAATCAATATGCTTGTGTTATTGATAATCTAATGTATATACCAATTTTAAACTACCTCAACAATTTGCAGATTGTCCTGGGTAAGACGATAAACTACATCCAGCAGCAAGGCCTCTAATCAGGAAGTTTTGAGGAGCGTGGAACCATCTCTTAATTGCTGGTGTTCCCTGGTTCACCCTGACCCGGGATGGTAGCACCTGTTAGGGTCTTAGCTATGGGCAAATTGGTAATCCTCCCCCAAACTGGGGTCAAAACGCTATGAAAGTAAAAAAACAGGTTTTAATAACGGCAATATTTTTGGAAAAAAAATATTCGGCAATACATTCTTGAAAACAAATACCACGAGCAATATATTTTTAGATAAAAGTATTACCAGCCATACAGTTTTGGAAAAAAATATTACCTCTTTAAAAAAATATTACCATTAATATAGTTTTGAAAAAAATATTACCAGTCATACAAATCTTGTCGGCATTAAATATCCAATTGAGGTTAATATGCCGTAAAGCAAAACAAAATAAAACAAACAGATTTGCAGATCGGAGATTTGAGTGCAGTCAGACTTTCACCGTATTGAACACAGGGTTATTCCGATAGTAATATTTTAGAAAATTGAATGTCTCTTATATGCTAAAATGTACGGAAATTAAATTTCGTCAGGTTTCACTTTTAAACACGCAATAAGGAAATCCTTAGCTAAAAGTTGGACATGAGCCGAATAGGCAGGAAAACGCACAGTGTTAAGATCAGGAACCTTGGACCAATTCCTGACCTTGTTACGCTGCCTCGACAGAGTTTAAGTGTGTGAGACCTTCTTGGTGAATATACCAGAGATGGATGATAATGCCTTAGAGAAGGGATATATAATGAACGTTTACTTTTATAATTTATAAATATTTTGATAATCATGCATCGGTGACACCTGGGAGTAACTTAAACTATTCACTTAACCGTATATGAATCATTTAACATGTTCTCAAGCAAATGGTGTTATCATGAGAAAAATAGAGTAGCAGTTAGAAAAATACAGAAACTTTCATTTTAGTTTAACAAAATGTTCTTCTGTAGATAAATTTAAAGCATCCATTTTAAGAATTCGTAGAATGAGCCGTGACCCTGTGGGTCACTGACAGTTCAAGCTATAAAACATCGATGTTAATTTCAACATTAAAAAAAAAACAAAACAATTATCTGTTTGAAGAAAGTTATAATAAAAATAGTTATTTTATAAACAACTCGTATTTTTAAATCTTACTCACTTAAAATATTTTTTTAAATCAGATTAACTTAAAAATATTTTGATATGCTAAAAAATATTTTTAAATCATATTCATCTGAAAATCTTTTTAAATGTGACAAAAATATTGTTTAAATATAAAAAAAAATATTGTTTGTTTAAAGAAAGCTGAAATATAAATAATTACTCTACAAACAACTGGACGAACAGCAAAGCTGAATCTATTTGTGTTTGCGTTTAACTTAAAACATTTTAATTAAAATATTGTGTGTTTGAAGAGAGTTAAAATAAAAATACTTACTATATAAACAACTCGGATTTTTAAATCTTATTCCCTTAAATCAGATTAACTTAAATCATTATGCGCCAGACATACGCACCACACAAGCAAACACGCAATCAGAGAGATGTGGAAAGACAGAGCGGTGGAAAGAGAGAGAGAGGTGGAAAGACGGAGCGGTAGGAAGAGAGACAGGTGAAAAGAGAGAGAGAGGTGGAAAGAAGGAGCGGTGAAAAGAGAGAGAAGTGGAAAGAGGGAGTGGTATAAAGAGAGAGAGGTGGAAAGAGGGAGCGGTAGAAAGAGAGACAGGTGGAAAGAGAGAGATGTGGAAAGAGAGAGAGAGAGGTGGAAAGAAGGAGCGGTGAAAAGAGAGAGAAGTAGAAAGAGGGAGTGGTAGAAAGAGAGAGAGGTGGAAAGAGGGAGCGGTAGAAAGAGAGACAGGTGGAAAGAGAGATGTGGAAAGACAGAGCGGTGGAAAGAGAGAGAGAGGTAGAAAGAAGGAGCGGTGAAGAGAGAGAGAAGTGGAAAGAGGGAGCGGTAGGAAGAGAGAGAGGTGAAAAGAGAGAGCGGTAGAAAGAGAGAGAGGTGGAAAGAGAGAGAGAGAGGTGGAAAGAAGGAGCGGTGAAAAGAGAGAGAAGTGAAAAGAGGGAGCGGTAGAAAGAGAGAGAGAGGTGGAAAGAGGGAGCGGTAGAAAGAGAGACAGGTGGAAAGAGAGAGATGTGGAAAGAGAGAGAGAGGTGGAAAGAAGGAGAGGTGAAAAGAGAGAGAAGTAGAAAGAGGGAGTGGTAGAAAGAGAGAGAGGTGGAAAGAGGGAGCGGTAGAAAGAGAGACAGGTGGAAAGAGAGAGATGTGGAAAGAGAGAGAGAGGTGGAAAGAAGGAGCGGAAAAGAGAGAGAAGTAGAAAAGAGGGAGTGGTATAAAAAGAGAGAGAGGTGGAAAGAGGGAGCGGTAGAAAGAGAGACAGGTGGAAAGAGAGAGATGTGGAAAGAGAGAGAGAGAGGTGGAAAGAAGGAGCGGTGAAAAGAGAGAGAAGTAGAAAGAGGGAGTGGTAGAAAGAGAGAGAGGTGGAAAGAGGGAGGTAGAAAGAGAGATAGGTGGAAAAGAGAGAGATGGGAGAAGAGAGAGAGAGAGGTGGGAAAGAAGGAGCGGTGAAAAGAGAGAGAAGTAGAAAGAGGGAGGGTAGAAAAAGAGAGAGAGGGGAAAGAGGGAGCGGTAGAAAGAGAGACAGGTGGAAAAGAGAGAGATGTGGGAAAGAGAGAGAGGAAAGGGGAAAGAAGAAGGGTGAAAAAGAGAGAGAAGTAGAAAGAGGGAGTGGTGTGGAAAGAGAGAGAGGTGGGAAAGAGGGAGCGGTAGAAAGAGAGACAGGTGGAAAGAGAGAGATGGGAAAGACAGAGGGTGGTGGAGAGAGAGAGAGGTAGAAAGAAGGAGCGGTGAAGAGAGAGAGAAGTGAAATGAGAGGGAGCGGTAGAAAGAGAGAGAGAGGGGAAAAGGGAGAGGGAAAGTAGAAAGAGAGAGGTGGAAAGAGAGAGAGAGACAGGGAAAGAGAGAGATGTGGAAAAGAGAGAGAGAGGAAAGAGGAGAGAGAGAGAGAGAGGAAAGAAGAAGTAGAAAAGAGACAGGGTGAAAAGAGAGAGAAGTAGAAAGAGGAGGGGTATAAAGAGAGAGGTGGGAAAGAGGGAAAGGTAGAAAGAGAGACAGGTGGAAAGAGAGAGGTGGAAAGAGGGGAGAGAGAGAGAGAGAGGGAAAGAAGGAGGTGGGTGAAAAGAGAGAGAAGTAGAAAGAGGGAGGGGAGAAAGAGAGAGAGGTGGAAAAGAGGAGCGGTAGAAAGAGAGACAGGTGGAAAGAGAGAGATGTGGAAAGGGAGAGAGAGAGAGGTGGAAAGAAGAAGCGGTGAAAAAGAGAGAGAAAGAGGGAGTGGTAGAAAAGAGCGAGAGGTGGAAAGAGGGAGAGGGAGGTAGAAAGAGAGACAGGTGGAAAGAGAAAGATGTGGAAAGAGAGAGAGAGAGGTGGGAAAGAAGGTGGTGAAAAGAGAGAGAAGTAGAAAGAGGGAGTGGTAGAAAAGAGAGAGGAGGGAAAGAGGGAGAGGGTAGAAAGAGAGACAGGTGGAAAAGAGAGATGGAAAGAGAGAGAGAGAGGGGAAAGAAGAAGCGGTGAAAAAGAGAGAGAAGTAGAAAGAGGGAGTGGTAGAAAGAGAGAGAGGTGGAAAGAGGGAGCGGTAGAAAGAGAGACAGGTGGAAAGAGAGAGATGTGGAAAGAGAGAGAGAGAGGTGGAAAGAAGGAGCGGTGAAAGAGAGAGAAGTAGAAAGAGGGAGGGAAAGAGAGAGAGGGGAAAGAGGGGAGCGGTAGAAAGAGAGACAGGTGGAAAAGAGAGATGTGGGAAAGACAGAGCGGTGGAAAGAGAGAGAGAGGTAGTAGAAAGAAGGAGCGGTGAAGAGAGAGAAGTGAAATGAGGGGAGCAGGTAGAAAAGAGAGAGAGGAAAGAGGGAGCGGTAGAAAGAGAGACAGGTGGAAAGAGAGAGATGTGGGAAAGAGAGAGAGAGAGGTGGAAAGAAGAAGGGGAAAGAGAGAGAAGTAGAAAGAGGGAGAGGTGAAGAAAGAGAGAGGGGGAAAGAGGGAGCGGTAGAAAGAGAGACAGGTGGGAAAGAGAGAGATGTGGAAAAGAGAGAGAGAGGTGGAAAAGAAGAAGGGTGAAAAAGAGAGAAGTAGAAAGAGGGGAGGTAGAAAGAGAGAGAGGTGGAAAGAGGGAGCAGGTAGAAAAGAGAGACAGGTGGAAAGAGAGTGAGAGGGAAAGACAGAGCGGTGAAAAGAGAGAGAGAGGAATAGAAAAGAAGGAGCGGTGAAGAGAGAGAAGTGGAAAGAGGGAGCGGAAAGGAAGAAGAGAGAGAGGAGAAAAGAGAGAGCGGTAGAAAGATAGACAGAGGTGGAAAGAGAGAGATGTGGAATGACAGAGCGGTGAAAAGAGAGAGACGTGGAAAGAGGGAGCCGTAGAAAGAGAGTGAGGTGGAAAGAGAGAAATGTGGAAAGACAGAGCGGTGGAAAGAGAGAGAGGTGGAAAGAAGGAGCGGTAGAAAGAGAGAGAGAGAGTTGGAAAGACGGAGCGGTGAAAAGAGAGAGAAGTGGAAAGAGGGAGCGGTAGAAAGAGAGAGAGGTGTAAAGACAGAGATGTGGAAAGACAGAGCGGTGGAAAGAGAGACAGGTGGAAAGAGAGAGATGTGGAAAGACAGAGCGGTGGAAAGAGAGAGAGAGATGTGGAAAGACAGAGCGGTAGAAAGAGAGAGGGAGGTGGAAAGAAGGAGTGGTGAAAAGAGAGAGTGGTGGAAAGAGGGAGCGGTAGAAAGAGAGAGAGGTGGAAAGAGGGTGCGGAGGAAAGAGAGCGCGGTAGAAATAAACTTAAATCTTTATGCGCCGAAAGGACGACCCACCACGCAAGCACGAATCACAGACATTTTGTATTATATAGATAGATAGATAACACACTTTAATCTATTCGTGTTTAAATACTGAAGTGCTTGCAAAATTCCGATCTACTTTCTCTTATGGACTAGAGTGATGCGACACATCGGCTGGGAAAATGAATTTCGATTTGATTTATAAAACTACATTTTTCCAGATCCAGTAATTAAGGCGTAAAAATAAAGTCAAATGATATGCGTGATTCCCGCTTTGTCTATGATGTCTCGATATATTCATTACTGATTAGGCAGAAGATTTCCCACAGTAGGCTGGCGTTTCTTTCTGCGGTAGACTGGTTTCCATTCAAGGCTTCAGGGTTTTGTATGTATTGCTATTGAATCCATAGTGACTGGGGCGACAAGAGACAGATTCATATATTTCCCAAGTGTGTTTACGCGTAAGTGAATCTAAGGAAACCGAAATCTATTGTCAGAATTTTCATTCCAAGTCGATATACATTATATCACATCGCACATCACGAATCACAGACATAGATAGAGAACACACTTTAATCGTAAAGTCAGGTGTAAAATTATCAAATTTCATTCATGAAAAAATATTGCTCTTAAAATGTAATTCATTACAACATATTGTATATATATATATATATATATATATAATATATATATATATATAGTTTATGAAAAACTAGGTAATCCGTATGTGTAGACCCAGGTGGATATACAGTATATAACAGAGGAAGATCTTTAATATTACCTTCAAATATTAACTTAACTAAACTTTAAGTAAAAGAAATTACCCATATAAAAACAGTCACGAGTTAAATTCACGAACAAAATTCAAATTCAAGATATGTCAACTTAACAATCAATAATTAAAATTTTTTAAAGAGATTAAAAAAAAAGATTACTAGAAGTAAACTTATATTTTAAAATAAAATTTTATTCTTTTAATGTACTTTATATGAATATTTTTTCTAATCGACTATTTCATAGAAAATCTCCAAAATTAAAAAAAAAACTTAATTCACTAACAAACATTAAATTAAATTCTTTGTAGACAGTTTAGACATTCAAATTAATATCAAACATTATAATCTTTATGAACCCCCAAAATAACACTTTCAAAGTAAAGCAATAAAAGCGTCTTTTTCGAGCCTGTTCTTTCCAAAGAAAATTAGTGACACCTTCTCTCATGACTTCCTTCTGTCTTTTTCTTTTTATGTCTTTTTTCTACTCTACCACTTCTATATCAATATATAACTTCCGTTAAGTTAACCATTTAAATATGTCAATGAAAGAATAGAAATATTAGATTACATCTAACTCACTCATGTCTTCTCTCTCCCCCCTCACTTCCTCACTTCGTTAATTTACATATGCTTAATACGACCCGTCAAAAATGTGTAAATTTTTTTTCATTTTTCGTTTCAACCTTTGGGAGTAAAGTCTGATGATCCGCAGTCCTTTAAAAGGGCTGTGGTGAAATAATTTATTACATGGAACGTTAAAGTGGTCTGTTTTTATTTAAATTATATATATATATATATATATATATATATATATATATATATATGTGTGTGTGTGTGTGTGTGTGTGTGTGTGTGTGTGTGTAACCTCGTGGAGTTAACCTTCAAGGTAGGACATCTAACGTAGACCTGTTTAACAGGTGTAATATTGGAAGAATCGAGACTTTTCTCATACAGTCTCAGTTATGGTGGACTGGCCATGTCTTGGGAAAATATGATCACAGGATACCCAAGATCCTAATGTACAGCCAGTTAGATCAGGGCTACAGGAATGTAGGACGCCCATGGCTAAGATACAAAGACAAGCTGAAAAGCAACTTGTCATCAGTCAGTATACCACATAACACCCTTGAGCGCTTAGCTTTGGAGCGGGTAGAATGGAGATCAACGTGTTTTAGTGCACTCAATCTGCTTGTCTTCAAGAAGAGAGAGCAAGATCTAAAAGGTCAGCCAATCTAAGATTGATCTTATCTCACAATCCTCACACTTGCTCCATATGTGGCCTCCATTGTAAATCACTAACAGGTCTTAAATGCCACTTAAGATTTTTGCACAAAATTTCATAACTGAATGTTATCAGATCCTCATACGTCGAAACCGATGGGAGTGTCCCTTTATATATATATATATATATATATATATATATATATATATATAAAACCGATGGGAGAGTCCCTTTTTATATATATATATATATATATATATATATATATATATATATATATATATATATATATATATATATATATGATATATATATATATATATTTCTCAATGATGGAAAAGCAAGGAAAAGCAATTGTTACTCGTTATGATCTACGAGACAAGTGGTGTTGAATCCTCTTCTACCATTCACGTTATATATATATATATATATATATATATATATATATATATATATATATATATATATATATACGTACAGAAAGAAATGGTTCCCAGGTATTGTGCATTAGCACGTCTATATATACATATATATTATGAGTTCACTGATTTAAAAATATGGTTTGATCGCTACACAGGAATTACCATGTTTCAATATCAGAAAACAAAACCTTCAAATTCAATTATATTAAATTAAAAGCATTAGTTCTGTTTCATCTTCAAGAGAAGTTTGGAATAACTTATTTTAAAATTTATTGAGTAGTAAAAGCACATACATTCATAATTTTCTGTCTCTAAGGATACAAAGAAATCCAATAATTTAGACAGGGGCGGTAGCGTGTTCTTTTTTATCAACTATTATTGTATCAATTATGAGTTAGGTTCGAAAATGGGTTAAGTGTAGGTAAGGTAGTGGTGCCTTTTTCAACGAATTATGACATCCGTTCAACACATGTCGTCTGTTTTTTTTTTTATCAACAGCAAATTTTTTTTTGGCATTTTATTTGTTAAATTTCCATTTGAATACATACTGATTCTTTTTAAAAGGGGAGTTTAGATTAAAATCCGTTGTTTTGATCTACAATTTTAAAATCTATCTATCTATCTCTCTCTCTCTGTCTCTCTCTTCTCTCTCTCTCTCTCTCTCTCTCTCTATATATATATATATATATATATATATATATATATATGTCCCAACATATGAATTTTCTTATTAAGAAAATGTGCTTTATTTCGTAGATACAAAATTTACCCATATAGTGTGGTCATATGAATAAGCACTGCATGGCAAATACCAGTTTCACACCTTAATAGAATCTCTAGATCAAGTGAAAACCACTATAGACAATAAATTTTGTACAATATAGGTTAAACATCAAATCTGGATGCATGAATTTGGATGAAAATGATCGCTTCATTATTGAGCGACGTGGCTTGATACTGATTGCCAAGCAATGCGTATTTGATGGATCCTTCCAAACAGCAAGCAACGTAGTAGATTATGGTGTGGTGCCGTTCGTGGAAAGCTCATAAGTTGGGACCATGTTTCTTTGATAGTAACGTAAATGGTGATACATACCTCACCGTGTTGAGAGGCCAGTCAATACCCCAAATTAAAAGCTTAGGTATAGCTAGACATATATACATACATTCATAGAGCAATTTGGGATTATACTGTCGTACAAGTAATTCAATCAGACACCGGTCGATTACAAATTCAACTCTGAAGCTTTTAGAACGTTTCAAGCTTCTTAGAAAAACTCCTTCTCTTACATTAATTTCATCCAAGAGAGAGCTCAGTATACCATGATATCTAACCACTGGCTTGGGGTAAAATAGAGTGAGTTATTTAAAATATAATTGCGATTAAGTTTTTTTCTAATTGTCTGTCTACTACTAGATTTTTTCTTTCAGTCTACAGTGTGTCCAGAAATTGTATTCACACTTTTATATATGTAACTAATGGGTAGTACAGTATTTACATTAGTCGGACTTTGTTGCCATATTTGTCACAACGTTTCGGCCGTCGTACGCTCCGGCCTTCTTCAGGTGATTGGAATTTCGAACTGGAACCTTTATTTCGATCACTGGGGTAGACTGTTCTAGTTCCACGTGCCATGTTTGATGGATGTTAGTTATCAGTTATCTCCTGCTAATTTTCCCTCTGAACGTTCTCTACTGCCTTAACCAGGTATTGAACTCACCTTCTTTGGGTTTGTCACTGGATCTAACCAACGCCTTTATCCACTGGGTATGAACTTCTGGGTATTATAAACCTAATGTTTTCAGCAATCATTTTTTACCAGTGCTCATATTGCAATTTTGCTGTTATCATTGCATGTCTTTACCAGAGTTCATATTGCAACTTTGTTATCATTGCTTTTCTCTGGCACTCCTTATTACTGGTTCCCATATTGTATTTATTTCTATACTTGGTCGGCTCAGGAGATTTTTGTGGCTGATTCCTTAAGTTTTCGAATTTTCCAATGATGTTCCCTGTCTAGAACAGTCTTCCTCAGTGATCGAAATAAAGTTTTCAGTTCGAAATTCCAACCACCTGAAGAAGGCCGGAGCGTACAACGGCCGAAACGTTGTGACAAATATGGTGACAAAGATGAGGACAATTGTTTGACTACTGTACATAATACCTCATCTCAGAAATATAGACAGACTCGTAACTAATGGGTGTATACATTTTGGGGGACACCCTGTATATAAAGGATGGATAAAAGTCTGAAATAAAAGTGTATGAAAACGTAACTGGCGATACATACCTCACCACGTTGAGAGGTCAATTAATACCCGAAATTGAAAGGTTAGGTAAAAGCCTCCCTGAGTGGTTCCAATATGATGGGGCCGCTGCACATTTCACCATGCCGGTAAGAGATTTACTGAATCCCAATTTCCCTAACTGGATTGGGAAACGTGGCCGTGTGGAATAGACTATTCGCTAACCAGATATTAGTCCTGTTGACTTCTTTTGCTGGCGTATCTTATAGATGAATGTATACAAGTGTATCTAGACTTTACGGTCAACCTGTATATTTATATATTTATAATTTT